GTGTATATGCCTCAATTCAAAGCACCTAGTGTGATTTATGTCTGCTCTGTCATTCCCCTGTTATCTGCCTGAGTCACTTCTGACAGTCTATGCTGACACCAGATAATCCTGGAAGATGGCCCCGGCCACCCTCTCCAGCACGCAGCAGATGACTGACGACTTCAAGCTGTGCATGTTTCCCTATAAGACCATGTAAGCATGAGACTATGTAGAAGGGGTGTGTGTGAAGGACAGGGTGTCAAATCTTGACCACCTTCACCAACTTATGACAAATGACTGATCATACTCACACTGTGCTGTCACTGATGCGATACAATGCCACTCTCAGCCTCACCCTGCACAAAGATTTTCCAACTCACAGGACCACAATCAAAGTGTCAGAAGACTGACACCGATCATCATATTGTTTAAACTTATCACACTACCACTCACAAAAACAATATAACATTTAATAAATATCTGTATATAGGACGAGTAATAGTTGTAATACTATAAGGAAGAGATTCTGCTAATCCTATCAAAGTACTGATAAGGGAGTTTGGAATGCAGCTAAAAGTTTGTTGATTGGATCAGATGCCTTACTGGGAGAATGTAAAGGGGATCACTTCTGTTGTGTCACCTATTGTTGCAAACTATCGTGGCTGACTTATGAATTCTGAACAACATGGTGGGCTTGCCCTTTCATACAGCCTTTTGAGGTGCCAAGTCCACATTATCATCATGGTGTGTCAATTCCCTTCACTCAGGTCTCCTTTCTTTGCTGTGAACTGTATGACATCAAATCCCTGCTTTCTGGAGCTCGGGAATGTTATTTAAATTCTGTAATTTGAATGATTGTAGAGTAAAGATGGCTGTAGAGAAGAGATGGCTGCAGATAAACATGTGCAACTTATGTAGGAGGATTTATTTCATATCTGTTTATCATCTGAGGATAGTCACTTCAATTGGTATATGTAAGGGTTTACAATCACTTTAAATCTGGGATCGGGGCACAGAAAACAAGACTTCCAAGGAAATTAGTTCATTTGATATAACACAACTTTAATATATTTTCTATGCGTAGGAGTCTTAATGTAAATGTATCACTGTCTAGATGTGCTTCCATATAATGTAATTGTTGTGCTTGCGCTGCAGTGCCATTAATTTTGAATATCACCCCAGTGCACTGTTACAGTACTGGACAATGAAACCCGCCACAACGCACATGTACTGCACTGCAGTGTGATGCATTAAAAACAAGTCATATGCAATTTTTACCATGCTATGGTGCGCTGCCAACACACTCCTAGATTGTAAGCTCGAAAGAGCAGGGCCCTCGAGCCCCTCGTGTATTGTATTGTTACTGTCTTGTAACATTTACTGTCCCTCACTATAATGTACAGCGCTGAGCAAACCTTTTGGCACTATATAAATACTGTAGTAATATAATAATAATAATAATTCAATATGAATGTGCTGACTTGCGCTAATATCCATGTGGTAGCGCATTGTAAAGATGTTAAGAATACCTTATGCAAACAGCAGTTTTGCATTTACAGCTATCAATTCATTGTATTATTATTACTATTATTTCTATAATACAGGATTTACTTAGCTCTAATTATTGCTGCAGAACTTTACACAACAAAGAGAGACAGTACAATTACAATACAATTCAAAACAAGAGACTCATAAGGACCCTGATCATGAGTGCTTGCAAGCTAAAAGTTAACATCATTGTAAAGAAACATTAACTGTTATTCTATTGTATTTAATATTCCCCGGCACTCCATTTCCAAAAGGGCAGTCACAGGGATTCCAGAATCTGCATGGTCCTAACCAGATCTCCTAGCAGCTCATGTGACCATGGTTGTACAGCAGGCCAATTCCCGTCTAATCTGGCATCTCACAGCTTGGATTGGTAGCCTCTGCTGATTACATTTGACCCCACCGCTTGGAAGCAGCCAGCACTTTGGGAGCCAGTGAGCAGGTAAGGAGCATTTGATTTTAATTTACCTGAACGGGTTGCATTCCAGCACCAGCACCAGAGCAGTTAAAATGTAAATAAAGGCTGTCAGTGTGTGCAGGCTGTCAATTGAGAGCTGCTGCAGTTATGTTTATCTATTACCCAACACTCAGCTGGCTGCATACAGGGGCTGATGAGCCACACGTAAGGCACCAGGGTAGTAGGGTCCCCTCCTAGCAATTCATATGAGTAGCCTGCAGTGTTCTTCTGAGTGTCATCTGCATAACATTGCAGTGAACACTCTAACAGACACACTGCAGGCTCAAGGCCACAGTATGCATTTTATAAATGACCTGCAAAGGCAGATGCAGTATGGCGTGAAGACTATGTTCTTCAGAGAGCAGTTTAATCTCTTCATTATAAAACTACCTCATAGTGACAAATAATTTTTACATTTAGTGATATTTTTTAAATTAAGGAAAAAAAAAAAATCTCTCTGTAATAAAAAAAAAAAAAAAGCACTGAAAACCGTACTGATGACAATGTTTAACCTTTTCTGTTATAAAACATATCCAATAAAAAAATCAAAAAAAAAAATCATATGTCTTCATAAATTTAGTCCAAAATGTATTCTGATACGTCTTTGGTACAGAAAAAAAAATCCCAAGAAGTGTATAATGATTGGTTTGTGTGAAAGTTATGGTGTCCACAAAAACTAAATAAATAAATATATATATATATATATATATATATATATATATATATATATATATATATATATATATATACACACACAATATAATAGTGATATACACCTGGACAGCTGCACCAGTTCTGACACCATTGTATGGAAATAACCATAGTACAGTTCATTCATTGGTTATAGTTTATGACCTGGTACCTGGCTACTTGTACCAAGTGATTAGCTGTAGCCAATCACAGAATGTCAACAGTAACTAAGCTGTCATGAATGTTAACTCATTCAAGACAACTCAAACTTTTGCTTATTACAGTGAACTTCACAATTGGCTCACAATTGATATGATCCAGAAATATTTATACAGTATAAAGGTGAATAAAGCACCTGGACCGGATGGCATACACCCACGGTCCTTAAAGAATTGAGCTCTGTCATTTCAAAGCCATCGTTTCTAATCTTTAGGGACTCTTTAATGACTGGCATAGTATCACTGGATTGGCGTAAGGCCAATGTGGTGCCAATATTTAAAAAGGGGTCAAAATCTTTACCAAGTAATTATAGACCTGTTAGTTTAACTTCTATAGTTGGGAGGATACTGGAGAGTTTAATAAAAGACCACATAGATGAGTTCTTGCTGTAAAAAAATATTTTAAGCAACAGACAGCATAGATTCATGAAAGACAGAAGTTGTCAAACAAATCTGATTTCTTTTTATGAGGAGGTGAGCAAAACCTTGGACAGAGGGGTGGCGGTGGACGTGGTATACTTGGATTTTGCAAAAGCATTTGACACAGTTCCCCACACATGGCTAATGTGTAAGGTAAATAGACTCCCTCAAGAGTTGGTTCTGGTCAGCTCAGTGGATTGCTTCAAAAAAGTCCTGCATTCTTTCTTACATACACAGAATATAACTGGATACTAACATTTATAGGTAAAGTTGATCCAGGGAATAGCCGATTGCCTCCTGGGGAAGGAATTTTTTTCCCAGCAGGAGAAAATTGGATAATGCTTTGCTGGGTTTTTTTCCTTCCTCTGTATCAACTGTGGGTGTAGGATTATAACTTTTTTTTTTTTATGGCTGAACTGGATGGACTTTTGTCTTTTTTCAGCCAGACTAAACTGTATGTAACTATGTAAACAGTAACAGTGTAAAAAAAAATCCCTGATCACCCCCCCAGATTAGTAGAGTGTCATCCTGATGACAGGATGTAAAAAAAAAAAATAGTAAAAACGTTTTAAAAATTTTGAATACATTTTTTTTTTTTCTTTAACATACGGTCACCAGTCAGTATCCCTGATCACCACACCAATCATATGATCACACTGTACTGTACTGCACTGCACTGTACTGCACTGATGACAGTATGTAAAAAAAATAATGAAAACAAAACAAATGTTATTTAATTTCTTTATTTTCCACAAAATTGTGACAAAAACGCGAAACTTAGTTTCAAACAAGAATAGGAATTTGGTGATAGGAAGAGGAGGAGCACACATGGTATATAAGACTAGTTTGTGAAACCGGAAATTCCTGTCTCTAAAGACACTCAGTGGGAAGGGCACAACGCGCATTAGACAAAGCTTCCGGTTTCCAGTGATGTCTGGTGGAACGCACGCAAGTAGCAGCGCTCCAAGGTTGTCCTTACTGCCTCGCAAGTTGAAGCACATTGTTTATGATATATTGTAAGTGCATTACTTTTAATTAATCTCAAAATAAAAGCAGTATTATGCTTTGGGGGCTTCCTCTATCCTTCTGATTTCCTTAAGAAAGTAGGATATGTTGAGTGCATGATCTGAAGTAAAGGAAAGAAGGGAGATACCATTACCCAACACCAGACAAAGTGTTGTTTGACCCTGTTGCAAGAAAAAAACATACACATATTCTACAGGGGACTGCGAATGTATGTTATTTGAGAACAGAGAACTTTCAAGTAATCAGGTCTACATCACCACGGACTGAAAGTTATTTGGACACTTTGCACATTGTTTATATTTTTTTTTTTGGATACTTTTGATATTAAGGTACCAAGTGATAGCTGTGAGCCAATCAGTAAGTAAGCGGTCATGAATGGAAACCATTTATGATTGTTGATTTTACATTGTAATCATGTGATCGCTATGACCAATCAAGCTCATTGCGCCTGTGTACTGGTAACAGTAATCCGCTTTGTCCACCACAGGGGCAGGACACAACAGGCACAGGAGTGGCACACAGCACACCCATGCACAGATGATGCATATGTACGTTATTGTGCCTTTACCTGCCACCCGCTCACAGTAATTTTACTGCAAACAGTTGGCAGGTGAGTAATATTGTTACTCACTACTCACTAGTCTAAAAAGAAATGTTCTTACCTTCACAAGGTTCAGAATAATAATGGGTGATCCAAATCTCTGAAGCATTTGGTCAAAGTGGGAAGCAGCAGCATGTGCATAAGGATCTGCTTGGTCCACTGGCAGAACAGAAAATACAATATTAGACAGCAGAAATATTATTACTGCTCATAAACTTACAGAGAGACTGTCCTAAAGCATGAGTTGCAAGATTTAACTTCAAGGAGGTGGAACTATAAATTTAACCCAGACGTTTACATGCATTCCCTAATTGAAAATTTACCTGCCATGTGGATTGTACAAAGAGTTAAAGTGTTTAGGGGACTCTATGGGAGCAGATGTCATGAAACGATTCTAAAAAAATAAGTAAGGCTGGCCAGAACTTTTTTAATAATTTTGACAGCTAAAGCGTCAATTAGAGCTAACCTACAGTTAAAAAAAAAAAACTACAGAGCTAACAGCAGCTGTCAACATACGAGGGGTCTTGAAAAAGTTTCAGAATTTTATTTTAACTCTATTTATTAAGAATTTTAAAAACAACATGACAACTGTTATACTAAACTGCAAGGTCAGCCAGGTTGTCAGACAGCCTAGTCACCTGACACTCTCAGACATGACCAATTACTACTCCTCCCGGCCTCACTGTTTCCAACTAAAATATAAAAGTGTGGAAACTTTTTGAAGAACACTCGTATACCTTGTACCATACAAGCTAACACCATACACATACCTGATGTTGTAGAATCCCTCATGGTCACAACATACACTTTCATTCTATATCAGCATTGTAATAACAATGCAACCAACGGTTGTTTTTGACAATCCAATATAATCTCCTTTCATTTTGTGAGTGCTGGCTCTCTGTTGTCCCTCTCTTTCCACAACTTCTTGGACCGGCTGAACTACTTATCAGCTGGTCCAGACATGGTCACGTGGGGTGAGATGTATGGGAGCAGGAAACTCCGAGCAACAATGATTTGCTTTGAAATTCGAACATTTCAAAACTTTTTACTCTTAGCAATCGTTCACCAGCCAGGACAAACAGACAACGACGAACAGTTACAGTACTGTGAAAGAATATACATGTTATTCCTATGCTGCCTGGCTGAATCGGACAGAGCAACATTTTTCTTTAACTGTTCCTTTGTTACCTTTCTCCATCTTGCCTGAATACAGGAACATGATGGAATAACAGAAACCTTGCCCATGTCCACAAACCATTAAGTTGTTTATGCTTCAGTTACCCTACTAACTATACAGTAACCTATACAGTATACAGGTTCATTTAGGTTTTATTTTTAATTGTTTTTCTACCAACCATCCCACCCTGATAAGTATATAAAGAGAACTTACATGTTATTGGTGGCTTAGGCATCATAGTGGAAATGTCTTGGGACCAATACAAAGGGACTGAGCCTCGAACTTGTACATAGGAGGAATAGCTTCCTGCAGTAAATGACATCACAGAAGCATCATGTACTATTTGCTCAGTCTCTACTTCATTGGCAACATCACCCTATAGGACAAGAGAAAAACCACAGTTAAACAATAATCATTTTTACAGATATACAGCCTTCTACAAGTGTCATTCTTTCAGCCCTGTAATTGCACTTTAAAGTAGAAATATAGGCAAAACTTTTTTTTCCCATTTTGGAAAGAGCAAGAGAGGGTTATAACCCGTCAGATTTTTTTTTCACCATCTGTGGCCTATTGCAGAGATTTCCCTTTGCATCCTGTCCCATAGCCAAATAGGAAGTGTGAGGAAATCCCTGCAAATTAAGAGAATTCCTTGGAGACCCCCCCGGTCACCAGAACTAGTATCCCCATTGGAAGATTTCCCCTCTATTACTTTTCTGGGGACAACCCAAATTTGTGACTTTCTTTTACGTACACTTTCAATGATAATGGTAAACAGGACAAATAAAGTGGGTGAATCAGAAGTCAGAAAGTGATTCAGCCCACAAGACTAAACAAATTCCAATCTCATTGAAAGTCTGCAGAGGTTACTAATGATAAAAAAACATCCACAACACTGATTAATAGCCTCAGGCCATGTAATCTAGGATGCCTAAAGCTGGCCACAGATGTAAAGAATTTCAAACTATCAGGTAACTATCAAATATTTAGCACTCAAAAAATAATGCTTACCTCACAATTTGCTCCTCTCTTTAAAAACCGTGTGCCAGCAAATTTGCTTGATCTTCTTGCCATCAGAGTCACATAGATTGGTCGACCATAAATTAATAGCTCTTTGTAAATTTGTTTAGGTAAATTTGTGATATAATGGACTAAAGAGAATTGAACAAATAATAGATCTACAATATAAAATAATCACAGCATGTGACTCAAAATGCACAGCTTTTGCTGGTCATGCATCTGTAAATGACATCAATTGACAAATGACAATTTTCAGGGATCTAATTTTAAAGGATAAGCTTACTTTTAAAAAACAAAAACAAACAAGTACACTATTTTGAAGGTGAAAAATGTGAATTTATTATTTTTATTCTAGAAGCCTGCAACCACGATCAGCAGATTGTCAGCTTCATGCAGACTCTCAGTAAAGCTGTCTACCCGTACATCCCGTAGGGGCAGACAGTTACTCAACTCCAGGAAGATCAATGAACTGAGAGAACTCACCAGCACCCTTGAATTTCACTGAGAACTACAATTCTTCTGCCAAGGTGGCTTTAGTAACATGTTACACCCTGAATATGGGTGTAACATGTTATTAAAAGTGAACTTATCCTTAAACAACAGAGACAATGGTGTTGATGTACTAAAGGCAAATAGACTGTGCACTTTGCAAAGGAATTTGCTCCAGGGCTTAGTAAATTAGGGGAAGCTCTACTGACTTCCACCATCCAATTGTGCAAGCAAAATGCGGTTTTATTATTTTCCTTACATGTGATTGGGTATTCTTTGCAAAGTGAAGCTTTATCTTATTTACTAAGCTCTGGAGCAAATGCCCTTTGCGAAGTGTACAGTCTATTTGTCTTTAGTAAATCAATCCCAATGTTTTTCTAACTTTTCTAAGGAAAAAACTGCCAGGCATGTTGAGCACTATCACGTCAGTCATTATATAACATGAAACTCTCATCTTTCATTTACAGTTCATTGATCATGTTGTAAAGGATACTTGACTGTCCACAAAATCCATGAATTATATAAAGCAGCCAGTCGCGATGTACGATGTCTTTTACACACTTTAAAAGTTGTCCATTCCAGACATATTTCATGCAAGGTTCACTGCATATCCCAAAAATACCTGAAAAAATTAAACTAGCAATAAATAAATATTCTGTCGATTGCTGCATATTGTTTTTCCAATATGGCAAACACACACTTATATTATTTGTGCAGTACAGCATTTGAGATACAAAAGGTTATATGATAAGACCGTTCCTAACCTCGGAAACCACTAAGCAACTCATTCACTCCCTTATTATATCATGCCTTGACTACTGTAACTCCCTCCTCACTGGCCTACCACATCACAGGCTATCCCCACTCCAGTCCATCATGAATGCTGCTGCCAGACTCATTCACCTTACTAACCGCTCTGTATCTGCCACCCCTCTCTGAAAAACCCGCCACTGGCTCCCAATTGCCCAATGGATAACATTCAAAACACTAATACTGACGTACAATGCCATTCATAACACTGCCCCTAAATAAATCACCGACCTTGTCTCTAAATACTACCCAAACCGTACTCTCCACTCCTCGCAAGGCCTCCCACTCTCTAGCTCCCTTGTCTCCTCCTCACATGCCCGTCTCCAGGATTTCTCAAGGGCTTCACCCATCCTCTGGAACTCCCTACCCCAATCTATCAGGCTATCGCCTACTCTGCTCACTTTTAGGCGCACTCTGAGAACCCATCTCTTCAGGGAAGCCTACCCCGACCCCAGCTAATACTGGAATCCTCTACTCTTCCTATCACTCCATCCCCCACAGCTAATTACCTCTTGTACCACTATCCCCTCCCTCCTAGATTGTAAGCTCCAAGGAGCAGGGCCTGCTAATCCCTCTTGTATTGAACTGTATTGTTACTGTACTGTCTCCCTCCATAATGTAAAGCGCTGAGCAAACTGTCGGCGCTATATAAGTCCTGTATAATATTAATATGGTTGAAGCAATCATACAATATACCGTGTTACACCTATACCAATTGCTACACCACAGAATGCATTCAAACAAACAAGTGATTACATGTATTTGTTCACTACCAGACAGATATTTCAGCTTCATATTGGATCTGGATGCTTTAGGATAAAATTGTGAGTTTATAAACTGAATTTTATGCTGGATTTAAGAGCAGTTTTGCTAAGGTAAATTACCTGTTTATACTATATTAAAGAACCAGTATAGTTGAATACTACATTTATAAATATGAAGGAAAAGTTTATATGGCTTTGGGAAAAAATGGATACGTTTTTAGTAAATTTCTGTGTAATAAATGCATGTTTTTATATATATTTTTTAATTTTAAATAGTAGTGAATGAATAATACGTAATCAATGTTTTGAGTATATGCATGCTGTGATATAGCAGTTGATAAAGGTGTAACAGAATATATTCTATAGTGACTAAATTGTAACAATACACCTCACACTCACAACAAATATTATCTCAGCTTTCCTTGAAGCAGTAAAGGATACAACATTTTATACAATTCAAAGCCAATACTGTCATTTGAATAACAGTTGAATGATGTTGGCTAAACAATGCCTAAGTAGAGATATGCATAAAGGAAACCAAGGTCTGAATTTACACTGATACAAAGTTAGGTTAAAAAAAGGCACATGTATATGGAATTTACCCAATAAAAAATGAATAAACAACTTGAAAACCTGTGCTCTCAGAACGATAAATCAACAGTTGATCCAGAAGAAGGCAAAAACCAAATAAAGTTCGGTCCAATTTGCTCAAAAATTAAAAATCCCTTCCTGATCCCTAGACAATTCAATATTTGCAGAATCAGCCTAACTAGAACCAGCTGTAGGAGTCTATTCTACAGTTTTCATAGCAAACTCTGATCCAGTTACCACTACTCTCTTACATGCTATATACATGTTATTTTTACGTACTGTTCTATATCTGGTAATATGCTAGAATACTGTTGTATCTGACTAGTGAAACTGGTTGTTCTTCCTTGTTTTGATATATCGCACTTTTTTGCCTTTGTTTCTGAAAGATGTCTTATCTTGCTGAAGTAAGCAATAAAAATTATTAGTATTAAAAACAAATGCAATACAAATGTAGATCAAATTTCATGATTTTTTGGTCAAATGTATTTTGCTGCATGTCTTTGATAAAAAAAAAAACTCAATAAGTGTATATTAATTGGAATTATATATACTGTAATTTTTTTTATACTTCTAATGGCAGTGATCAGCAATAGTGTAGTGGGCAATCTGACACTAACTGATGGTGGGGGGACTAACTGCCACTCACATCACCAGTGACACTAATACAGTGATCAGTGATAATAATATACACTGTCACGGTTCTCATGACACTGGCTGGGAAGGGGTTAACATCTAGGGCGGTCAAGGGGTTAAATAATTGCCTAAATGCATAAGATGCGTATTATATGCTGCTTTAATAAGAGATCTATTGGTTTCTCATTACAGCTTTGCAGGGATGACAAACAGTGAGATTGATCCCTCTGTACAAAGCCCTGTATTGAATGTCAACACAGGACTCTGGGCTGTAATTGGACATAAACACATTTCACCCCATGGGGTAAGGATGATCATGATAAAGGTGAGGGATCATCCCAGAACTAAACAGGAGAATCTTGTGAATGATCTCAAGACAGTTGGGAGAACAGTCACCACCACGGTTATTAAACAAACCATTGTTAAGACAATATGCCACCATGGATTAAAATCCTGCAGCACCCGCAAGGTCCCCCCTCCTTAAGAATGCACATGTATAGGCCCGTCTGAAGTTTGCCAATAAACATCTAAATGATTCGGAGAAGGATTGAGAGAAAGTGCTGTGGTCAGATGAGACCAAAACTGAGCTCTTTGACATTAACTCGACTTGCCGTGTTTGGAGGAAGAAAAATGTCAACTATGACCCTAAGAACACCATCCCTACAGTAAAGCACAGAGGTGGAAACATTATGTTTTGGGACTGTTTCTCTGCTAAAGGTACAGGCTGACTTTGTCACATTGAAGGGCCAATGAACAAGGCCATGTATTGTAAATTCTTGAATGAGAACCTTCTCCCTTCAGCCAGAACACTGAAGATGGTCATGGATGGGTCTTCTGGCATGACAATGACCCAAAACATACCGCTAAGGCAAAAAAGGAGTGGTTCAAGAAGAAGCACATTAATGTCATGGGGTGGCCTAGCCAGTCTCCAGACCTTAATCCTATAGAAAATTTATGGAGGGAGCTGAAACTTCGAGTTGCCCAGCGACAGACAAGAAACCTCAAGGATTTAGAGAAGATCTGTAAAGAAGAGTGGACCAAAACTCCTTCTAAGATGTGTGCAAACCTGGTAAGCAACTACAAGAAACGTCTTACCTCTGTGCTTGCCAACAAGAGTTTCTCCAAGTACTAAGTCATGTTTTGCTTGGGGATCAAATACGTATTTTACTCACTGAACTGCAACTCAATTTATAACATTTTTATCATGTGTTTTTTTCTGGAGATGCAGGAGATCAAATAAACCCTGATAGATCAGGGCTTGATCTAGGTCAGTTACAGGGTCAAGGCTTGGGCCAAGGTGAGGGTCAACAGTCAGGGTCGGGGGTCAGCATTTTCTATTTTGTATAAGTGTCCAAAATACTTATTACTGTTTCTTTTGTTTCATCCAAGTAAACTGTGCCTAATGTTGGTGTAACCTACAATTTTTTTTTTATGTTACTATTATCACATACAAAACGAGTGTTCCTACTGAGGTGCAAAGGTAGGTATGCTCACCAAACTCCTAATAATAAGGAAAAAAAACATCAGAGGGAACAGAAAATTTAATAAACTGTGGGGGTACAAGGTGCACAAACCAGTCTATCATCTTCTCACTTGCCCTTTAATTATCAGGATCAGAAATGCAATCAGAGGTAGCCCATATAGCCATTATCATCAGCACAAAAAATGAATTTGGTTTTCTACTGATTGACTACAAAAGCCAACCTTACTGCTGTATTTTGCAAAACAGAAAAGATAAAATTAGTTCATCCTTGAGCCTTGGAATAATGTCTGTATTACCTGCATACTACACCATCTGCACTTGATTTGACTTGTTTCTGTATGCTTTCCTCTCAAATGTATTTATTTATTACAGGTACTTATATAGACCTTCAATTTACGCAGCGCTTTACATATATATTGTACATTCACATCAGTCCCTAACCCTCAAGGGGCGTACAGTCTAAGGTAACTTTTACATTAAAGAAAATACACACAATGCAACACACTGCCTCAGCCCATAGATAATATTGTGTGTCTCAGAACAGGATGGCTAGATGAATATCTGTGCACTGTGTACTGCTCATCAGGAAATTAATTTTACTTCTTAGTGCTATACTTAGTAAAATGCGTACCTTAGCATGTTTACCTTTCAAAAGTGAAGAGTAAAATACACATCCTATATTATATATTTAATCTGTATATAGTGAACTGCCTGATAAAAACAAATTGGAATGAACATGCAAGACCCATAAAATTCACTTGGTTTATTGAAGAGGTTGCACATGTATAGTAACTATGGGCAAAGTGCAAGTAAACATACTTGTTATGTTTTTCCACATTTTGTAGTGTAAAAATTTAGAATGTATTTAACTTTTTACTTTTACTTACTACACCAATTACTCCATGAAGTTAATGCAAAAGGGCAAAATCAACACAGTTTTTCAGATTACCTACAAACATAAATGTACTGAACAGAAATAAACTGAAAAGTTTTGATTACAACCCTAAACTGTCATATGACCTCTACTTAAATACAACAGCTTCTGGAAGACCCCAAGTCTAGGACAAGAGAAAGCTTTTTTCAATATATAACTCAGGAATCTTTGCAAAATTTAAAGTGTTAGTTCACATTTACCAGAAACCTGCCTATGCAGATAAGAGTGTCTGTGGATAATGACAAACTGTGTGTCTCTGACTACATAAGGTTGAATAATACCCTTGCTATAGGTGTAGACCATTTATGTACCCCATGAATCCTGACTGGAATATTTGCAGGATGCTGCTAGGACTTTGCTAATTGAGGCATTACTGCTCACCCCATCATGACAGGAGTGAGTTCTTT